ACAAAATGTTGGTCAGTGAAAACTCTTCTCACTGCACCATCAGGGCTTTGAGAGGTGTTGATCTTACTGTTGCTGCACTTGCAGTTTGTTTTGGACCACAACCCAAATGTGCACTAATCAATACTGTTCCTGACCGCGGCTGAACCAGTAACAGGAAATGAATCTGCAGAAATATCACAGTACATGGACGTTTTCAGAGGACCCCACTGGTCTGATCTCTCTGCCGTAAAACCAACATAGACTCAAACTGATCTTAACAAACTTAACAGTGATATGACGCTCTGGCTGACAGGTGCATGAGCCTACCACACGTGCTGATTTAAATACTTCATGAGCGCAGAGCTCATTGTTAGTCAGCCTCAATCTTATCCTGTCAGGTCTCATAGAGTCTTAAGTGACTTGACAGAATCACTTTTTACCTTCAAGCTTGTATGACAACAGGCTGAAAGGTGACTGGGCCGCGGCCCTGAACTGTGCCGTGTAGCTGGGGACATCGGCGGTGTTGTTGCCCCCAGAGATCGAGCCTTCCCAGCTGTAGAAGTTGCTGCTGATCTTTGTGGATGCTGCAGCCAGACCGAGAAGGGGGAGAGACAAATCCAGAGAGGGTGGTATGGTGAACCGTGGGAGCTGATAGGTCCTGGGTGGGATGTGCAGACCTATCTGTGGTAAATCTATGAGGGGCACTGACAGGGAGTTTGGGACGTTCAGCTCTTCGGACTTTTTGCCTCCGAGTGGAAGAGGAAGCGAGATGGCCATCTTGTCCTTGTTGAACTGGTACCGGAACAAAGTGTCGCTGTTGAGGTAAAAGGAAAGGTGAACAGTGAAGCGCTGCAGAACAGGTGGAGCCCATCATTCATATCTGGAGGCTGATTTTTAAACACTTACGACTGCAGGAACAGTTTTTCTGGCAGAGCTGGCAGAGTGAGATCAGAGAGGCTTCTCTTACTTCGCAGGTTTGCCAGAGTGGGGATGTGCGCCGTCAGCTTGTCCAGCCATATGTTACCTGCCTTCAGAGTGAAACAAAGACTGTTAGATCTCACTGCAAAGCTGTAAAACTGCCTGTAAACGCTGCGTAACACTCTGATGTTTTATGACACCTCGATTCCTTTCGTGATGATGTGACGCAGTTTCATGTCTGTCTTCGCCACCCTCTGGTCCAGCATCTCATCAACGAGCTGTTGAAGCCACCTGCGACGATCCTCCACGTTAGGGATCATTTTCTGCGTCTCTGAATTCAGGTCAGATTTCAGTTCCACCTCAAACTTGTCATTATCTGGAGAGAAAATCCAGAAAACCCTCAAATGACTGAATCCATGCAGCTGTCCCTGCATTGATGAGAGGAGGCACAGTTACCGTATTTTAGGGAAGCTTTTTGCTGGTATGATATCTCAGAGAGGTGCACGATGGTCTCCAGGTCCATGACCACATCTTCATCCTTCTTTAGGTTTGCAGTGAGAGATGCATCGGCTTTCAGAGAAGGAACGACCATCTGGAGCTGCAGCACGCCATCATTCATCTTGCTAAGCCTGCATTTAAAACAAAGACGATACTGTCAGCTTCCCGTCCACTCAGCACAGCCGAAACCTCATGAAGGACCCAAGACTCGTTTCATGAACTCTGTACCTGGCACGTCCAACAAGCGTCAGCTGTGGGATGTTCTTGTTGGTGATGTCGACGGTGATGCCCCTCGTCTCAGCACCGCTCTCAGTTAAACCCAGTTTGACTCCTGCTTCCACGTCATAGTCAGGAATGACGACCTCAGCAGAGACGGTGTTTTTTAAGCGATTGTATTTCAGAGCTGCCGAGGCCTCCGATGAGTCGTCGCCTGTTAAGATAAAAATTAAAGTAATTAGCCGGCTGTTAGCTGCAGGGAGCAACGGGTGGACTTTAGTCCAGTACGCACAGGAAAAGAATACACGTCAGCAAAAATGTGCTTCATTTTTATGAATTCGGGACCATCACACCCCAAAGACACTCCAAAATCCCTGACAACAGTGTAAAGAAAACAAGGATTTATATAATGTGTACTTTATGATCCCCGTAGGGAAATCCTCTCTGCATTTAACCCATTCACTGTGTGAAGCAGCCATCAATGCAGCGCCCGGCGAGCAGCGTACAGGGACAAGGGTACCTCAGGGTAGCCGTTCAGTGGATTTGAACCCCTGATCATGGGCGACCACTCCTACTGAGCTGCCCAGATATAAAACATGATGAAGACAGATATGAGCCAAAGTAAGCATCTGTTTTGTGAGAACGACTCATATTTGTTCGTGATGCTGGGAGAGCTGGGAGAACTGGGAGAGCATGATGGTTTAACCTTATGCATCCTTCTCAGTCTTATGAACTGAGCTTGCACACAAACACATTTATTTAAGACATTATATTTAATAGCGTTACTGTCATGTTTCG